AGAAGGACTCTGCACCTTGGCAAGTTAGATGCTCCTTCTCCTTGGTTACTCCCCATCCCATCCCTTGCTCTTCTGTGAAAATTCAGGGTGAATCCCAAGGTTTGAGGCACCTCCCATCGAAACCCACAATGACCCATCTTCCCATTTCCATGAGCCCTCGCACCCCACAGGTGAACAAATCTGATCTCGGGACACAGCAGGGCCCAGTGATGTTCTCCATTAAGTAACGTTCTTCCATTTCCCACTTCAAGTATCCATCCCTCAGTGGGCCCCACACACAAGGCACTTTTATAATCCTAGGAACCACAACCACCCCAGGCACACTTGGAACAATAACCGTTCACAGCCGGCTCCAGGACTCCCTTGGAGTGGGTCTCGCCTCTCCTGTGCCAGCCTTTCTAGCATTCGGCCTCTCTTCAGCCAGAACTTCATTTCCCAAGACATAGTGATCTCTTTTGTCTCAAACTCATTGCAAGAGAAGCATCCGTACTTTATTATTTTTCTTTTCCTCCCCTGCAAGGTCCCTAACACACAGGGAATTTTGGTTATAAATTGTGGATAACTGACTCACAAATAAGCAGTGGCAGACGCCTCAGGCCTAGAGATGAAGTGATATCCTAGATTAAGGGGCAGGCCTTGCAGTTAGACCATCACCAAGGCTCAAATCCCAGCTCTGCTTCCTCCCTGTGGAAGGTTGGGGGAGTGACTTAATTTTTACGGGCCTCAGTTTCCTCATGTGTAAATGGGGCCAAGATAATAGTAGCTGTCTGCTGTCAGAGAACAATGAGAAAATAATAGCAATGGTGGCCACTCTAGTGGGCTGTTAGAAGGATTAAATTTGTTAATATTTTTTGATTTATTTATTTATTTGAGACAGAGTCTCGCTCTATTGCCCAGGCTATAGAGTGCCGTGGCATCAGCCTAGCTCACAGCAACCTCAAACTTAAGCAATCCTTCTGCCTCAGCCTCCCAAGTAGCTGGGACTACAGGCATGTGCCACCATACCTGGCTAATTTTTTCTATATATACAGTTGTCCAGATAATTTCTTTCTATTTTTAGTAGAGACGGGGGTCTCACTCTTGCCCAGGCTGGTCTCGAACTCCTGGCTTCAAGGGATCCTCCTGCCTCGGCCTCCCACAGTGCTAGGATTACAGGCGTGAGCCACCGCGCCCGGCCTGTTAATATTTTTAAAATACTTAAAACAGTGCCTGGCACATAATAAGCACAAAAAAAGTGTTGAATAAACAGATCGTGTCTTTTTAATTCTAATCTTCTCAGAGTATTACAAATACCATTGTTCGGTATTAACTGTGGGAACCTCCATTTGGCCACATTTCCGTCTGGTTTAGCCTGTACCCTCAGTAGTGAGGCCAAGTGGTAAGGCCAAACCTTATCACACATCAAAGTCACCTAAGGAGTTTGTGGGTTTTTTTTGTGTGTTGTTTGTTTTTTTTTTAGGAGATGAAAAGTTTACTTAGAAATTGTAAACATTTAGCAAAGATAAGACAGATGCTATTTTCCATATTCTACAGAAATACAATAATTTATAGCTGCCTTGGTACATGGTCACATGATATAAAAACAAATCTAATGGAAGGAGTTTGTGTTTTTTAAAAAACACAGATTTTAGGGTTTTATTGGTCCACTCATTCAACAACAACTTGAGCACCTATGATCTCTGAGAATAGGATGGGTAGTAAAATAGGCAAAGTACCTCCTGTCAGTGAACTTACCTCCTAGTGAGGGAGATAGAACAGAAAACTTCTTCTGTAAACGACCAGATAGTAGATACTTTAGGCTATGAGGGCCAGGCAGTCTCCATGGAAACCACTCCCTCCTGCCCTTCTAGCGGGAAAGCAGCCCCAGACAATATGTCAATGACGGGGTGTCTGTGTTCCACTAGAACTGAATCGATGGACGCTGAAATTTGTATTTCATATAATCTTCACATGTTGGGAAATATGATTCTTCTTTGGATTATTTTTTCCAGCCATTTACAAATGTAAAAACCATTCTTAGCTCGCAGGCCATACAAGAACAAGGTCTGCCTGAGCGATCCCTGACATGGACAGTAAGTGAACAAGCACGTCATTTAAGGCCTGAGCCAAATGAACGCAGCTGTTGCGATGCCACCGAAAGAGGACCAGCCTAGAACTCGGGGCTGGGGTCCTGGTCCCAGTCCTACCCTACTGGGGAGATTGATTTATTTATTTAGTATGTATTCTAATTAAATATTTTTTTCTCCTAACAGCAGGTAATGCGATATGAATCAACACTTAACAATAAGAAAAGAATTTTATAATCTACTATATGTTTAAGTATTGATGGAAACTGTCAAATATTTTAGGAAAACTTAATTTAATTTAAGTTCCAACCGTTATCAATGCATGCTAATGTCAACAAGAGATATTTCGTCAACTAATATGTCGAAGTTAGAAATTATGAGTTGTTTCAGGTCCTGTCTGCTGCGGTGAGTCTCACGCTGTAACATCTTATGCACTCTGGTATGGACACAGAGAAGGCGGTCGGATTGCATCAATGTGGTCAGGAGCAGTTCACCAGTCCTGAGCAAGACCCGTCTCCACCAAATATAGAAAAGAATAATTGACTTAACTACACATAGTTGCATATTTAAATATGCCACCGCGATAATAAAAACAGTAACTAAGTAACTGGCCATGCCATGAGGGATGGTTCCAGGTCGGCTGCCGACTGCGGGTGTAAGTCCCAGCTTACTAGGGAGCTGAGGCATAGGATGTGAGCCCAGGAGATTGAGGTTGCTGAGCAGGCCTGCGACAGCCAGACGGGCACACGATTGCTCACTCATAATGCCTGTGTCAAGATAAAGTGAAACTCTGTCACTCAAAAAAAAAAAAAGAGATTATATAAGTCCTCAAGCATGGGTAGTAATGAGGCCATAGCCTAAGTTGACATGCTTTATGCGTGGACTCCCAGACGCTACAGTGGCTC